CTAAATGATAGACCTCATAGAATTTGAAGACACAACAGCATGGCAAAGAAATTGAGTCGTCTCTAGCTTGAAAAACAAATTTTATTGCAGACTTTGCATTTTGCCACTGCACTGAAGAAGACCGCTGTTGTGTTTGAAACGTCTGCAACAAAATTTGTTATGCGATGATTGACCATGGGCACTTTTTGGGCTTAATTTGCTTTAACATTTAAAAATATGATTTTTGTTTACCAGATTCAGTTAGTTTGGGTTGAAACCTTTTCCTTGTTTTTTCTGGAGTTTTCTTGCGCATCTTTTGTCTCCTTTCCTTCAATTCCTGGAATTTCTGTACAGATGGATGGATGTTCAGTGGATTTGTAGATTAAATGTAATTATGTAATAATAGATGGATAGTTGGATGTGAATGAACTGATGGTGCACAGAGTAATAAATACATCCAAGACAATTTATAAAACTTAAACTTAGTACATTTTATAAAGTCAGGACCATTTACATAGCGACCGTTCTGACAAAGTGTTTTGATGTCTGGCAAAGTATTTTGATACTCCCTTTAATATCAAAATACTTTGCCAGAACGGTCGCTATATTATCATTTATATATCACTATTATAAAGAATACTTATTCCTTTAGCTTTAACTACGAAATGCAACATTTGATTTTCTTTTTTTTTTCACAGCGCGCGAATACATGTAACTTACCTTCCAGTTCCTCTGAGAGACTCCATCAGGTGTCTTTGCTTGTTCCTGGTCTGGCGGGCATACTGATGAATACATGTTTCCTTCTATCGATTACTGGCCAAATAACCAGAAGCCARTAAGACTTTACTAGACTYTTCCCCAAACATTATCGAAAACAATCAAATTATTGTAGAACTCCACATTCAATGCCGACAYCGTCGTCCGCCATTTTGCATTAGTARTGTTTGCCTCTTGGGATACCTTTGCAATGATACCCGCGTGAGAGTGGGTTATAAACACAGGATGCCCAAGATGAATACAGTTAACTCTCTTTGAACGACCACTTTCGTAAGCGACCATCTCCAGTAAGCGACCACCTTTTAAATTTCCTGTTTTGTCTCCCATATAAACTCTGTAAAAAAATCTCTATCGTAGGCAACCACTCTTGTAGGCGACCGCGACCACAGTTTGGGATTGAAACTTGTAGAATTTTTCATTATTGTTTTTCTCCCCTCCCATAAGCGACCACCATCCTCGACTGACGCAATAATAAAGGCGTGTGTTTAATTTACTTACAAAGCTTACACAAATTATATCTCCGGTTACTTTAATAGAGTACAAACCGTAAAAAGCGTACTATTAAAGTATCAAATACATTAATTGTATGAGGAAGTAGCTGATCCCATTAAAGAGTGCTCAATACACATAAAGTGTAGAGCTAGTTATATTATATAATATCAAAGAGGCAAAACTGTCTGATGAGTGCGTAGCACGAAACTCGGAGTTACAGCAAAATCTTGCCTCTTTGATATTATATATATATCAAATACATTATAATGTTAGTTATACCATAGAAAACAATAGAATTAGGACAATAAAATCAACTTCAAGAATTTGAGGAATGGCATGGAAGCAGTATGATTGTTCAAAGATTYTATTCACTGAAATACGAACAACGCGTTTTGAACTGTTTGGGCCTCCTGTGTAGTGATTATCATTGTTTGGGTTTCCTGTGCTAACGTTCTCGTAAGSGACCATCTCTCGTAAGCGACMACTTCTACCYGATCCCGAGGTGGTCGCTTACGAGAGAGTGACTGTACTTCTTGTCACTTTCTTCCGTTTTTCCACCATACATTCCTTATTTGTATTTTATAAACATTTTTATTTCAGGCATGTTTCCACATTTTTCCAGTGGTAMTACAAGACTAAATATGTAAAAACTAGAGGGAGAATAATGTGTACAATCTCTATACTCACATTCAAGTCTCCATGATTTCCTGAGGTCTTTCTGCAGATTTGATCTGATCTATTTAATCCTACTTAAACTAATTTATTGAATATTTTATCCATCAAATTCATTTCTATCAATTTACTTTTATAGCTTTTTCCATTCAATATTGTTTCAGCAATTTAATTTTTTCAGAAATATATACATGTATATAAAATTTCTTCTAAATTCAATTTTTTTTTGCTGAAATGTGCACGTTTYGCTATGAACGACAGCACAAGAGGTCGTTGTTTTCCTTTAATTGTCATCTCATGTTACTGCCTGTCATTGCGCATGATAAAACGTTCACCACTCACGGTTTACTTCGCGGTAGCATTCCGTCTGCCTTCCAGTGTTTTCATTGACATTTTCTCCAACTTTTAGGCGCTGCATACGCGTCAAACGAAGAAAAGATGCGAGAGGAAAGACAATTATTTTATGCCCTGCTAATCCTCATGTTTACCTTGTCAGTTGTAAGTTTACCTCTAAGATTATTAGGTGGTAAACATCACTATGAAGGCCGAATTGAAGTACTTTATGATGGCAAGTGGGGAGAAGTCTGTGATCATAAATGGAATCTGGCTGGAGCAAGAGTGGCGTGTCGTATGCTGGGATTTCCTGATGCTGAGAGATATACATTCGGGTAGGTGATTCTATTGAATTTGATATAACGGTACAATTTTTACGATTATGTCACCCCTACACGTGCTTAGAATCCATGCGCAAAAATCTTGCTGTCAAAGTTCACTGAAGGAATTCCGCAAAGAGATTTTCATGAACTTCAATATTCCTATCCACTTAGTTGCAATATGGTCGAGTAACAAAGACTCATGTAGCTAGACTCGGTCTCGCAACCTAATGGTMCGGGTTCGAGTCCCAGTAGCTCACTATATTAGACTTTGTAATGTTCGCCGTGATTCAGCACGCTATGTCTGTTATGAATTATCATTAGAAATTTGATCTTTTTATAGTAGTGATTTTTATTGCATGATAGGAATGCGCTTGGTTTTTGATGATTCCCTCGTAAGATATCGTTGAATAATTAATTATGCTTTTTCTTAATAAGTTCTAATGAGCTCCTCAGGACTATGTAAGAAATGCAAGCCAAACGTCTTTTGTGCTCACTCATTCAAACTTGCATGCATCTCTGAGGCTTATATAATACTACTTTGACCTACTTGTCAAAATGATGTTGCGTTACCAAAAGTGTATGTCATTCTGGATATGTGTTCTTTCTGTCTGTCTGTCCATCAAGTTGTCTTCGTTTTTGATTTATTAACTTTTGGTTTATTTTTAGTGACTGGTGGGGGAAGGGTAGTGGGTACTTTTGGCTGGATGACGTCCAGTGTGAAGGTACGGAGAAGAGCCTGCTAAAGTGTAAACGCAAGGACTGGGGACGGTGTAACTGCAGGCGAGGTGAAAACGCTGGAGTGATTTGTARAGAGGCTGATGAGAAGCGTGTTATTTACCCGTCACCCTCTAACTTTAGTCAAGGGGTAAGTATACCGCTTCCTCTATAAAGATGAATGAAATAGGAATAGAATGGATATGAATAGAAGGAATGCATAAGAGAACGCAGTGATGATTTATTCATTCAGTGGAGTTCCAAGTTTGACAAACGAAACGAGCGACTGAATGGATAAATTGCCGCAGTCAAAAGGACGAATGACAGAATATATGTATGCCGGGATGGTTTATAGCCACTGATGACGTCACTATGATGTTGCCCACTTTTGTTGGTAATGTAATAACTGACATTTTGGTCCAGTGTATGATGCATAAAGGAGTGTAGGCGATTATCCCTTGTTTCTACAAAGACTCGTCTGCATTTGTACATAGTTACTCAACCACAATATCTAAAGTCGACCATTATTTTCCTTACGCAAAAAKGAATTAAAATCTGGATAACAAGGAATGRAAATACGTGAAGTAWTGGTTGTAGAATGACGCGCGTAACTGTCCTATGGCATATTCAATTTTATTAAATGATTTAAATCAGGTAATGCAAATTACATGTACAGACTGCAAATAKTTTAACTAAGGCAGTCTGTACAATAATGACGTCACAGTAGTATRTTAACATTGTGGATAGATGCTAAGAAAGACTGGATTTGGACCGATTAGCATTCTTTTCCGAAAGTAGAACTTTAGTGTATCGAGTTTTGATGTACATCATTTATCAATGATTGCTCGTGTACATTTTATTTGATATGCAGTCACTCTGATCCCTTCTGGCGACCATAATCCTTAGCGTTAAAACTAGAATGTTTTGGTGTGACGTAATTAATATGCGATAGGGCAATTGTATAAATGGCCCATATTGATGGATGGGTGCATAAGGACTGAATAACACAATCAAACGATAAACGAATTTGCATCAGCAATCGAGGTCATGATTTCTGTCTTATTCGTAGATCGTTGATCTCCCTGTTCGTTTGTATGGTCCATTACGTCGTGGGTACATTAGTCAAGGGGTGCTACAGGTACAAGTTGGTGGTCGATGGGGAGCAGTTTGTTCACATGGATGGACAGAATTCAACTCGAGAGTCGCGTGTGGCATGCTGGGATATGTAGATGCGAACAAAGTGGACATTAAAGTAAAAACTGTGAAGTGAGTGATYCTATTTGAATAGAAGTACTCTATAGGAGAAATATAAAACCAGAACTATCTCTCGTATAAGCGACTTCCATATATGGTTGTGCTTGTAATCAGCGCTGACGTACATATAGAAGGCTCGCATGTCGCTATAATTATGTCAAGAAGAAYTTAGAGAAAATTTTACTTAAACTAGCMTACGTAGTGGYTGTAGGGGAGGGGAGCAAGCCTTGCTCTCCAGTTCTGKTTTTGCATATGTTTCTTTAGGAAAAAAAATGATTTTGCATTTGCTATCAATTTTGAAATATTTAAAGTTGAGACTTGAAACTATGTCTTCTTACTTATTTTGATCCCCTCTTTCTGAACATCATTTGTCATTGCTGATTGATTTAAGGTAGRTGTGGTYATGTGACCCMCAGCTGYAAAGGRCCTATTCGCTTGAGTGAACCTGAATTTTTGCGATTTCTATGCAACGGCATTCATGAGTAACCACACGTGTAGGGAAAAAAAACATTGAATACATGATCAATGAGTCTTCTATGTGTACATGAGAGCCATGCATATGTACACTATATATGGAAGTCGTATGASAGACTCTACTAAAAGAGGCACAGGTTACAGCTAGTGGCAGAATCAAATATCTCACTCTCTCCTTTCACCATGTATCATTTTATAATGAATTTAGACTCGTAAATACTACTGATATCATTATACAGCAGTACCACATACTTGATGAGTAACGTGAAGTGTTCTGGTCGTGAATCGTCCCTCGTAGAGTGTGAACACCAGGGCTGGGGTCGTCTAGAGTGTGAAGGAGGATCACATGTGACTGTCTCTTGTAAACGATCTAACATGCTGAAGGTAAAACATAACTAATATATAGTACATGCGCGTTTATATACCTATTTCAAAAAAGATTTTTGGACAAAATGGCGAATGTCAATTGTCGAACGGCGCTGATTGCACGGCCGAAAGTAGCCATGGGATTTGCTAATTCAAAGTGAAATGACGAATGATTTATACTATAAGATAGACGTTTTTTGAAATAGATTTATATTAGTCAGACTAGTAGTGTAATATTTGGKGATACACTGAAAAGACAAAACAAAACGTGCAAACAGGTAAAAGGGTAGCAACCTAAAGTTTATCATTCAGGTTTAGTAAAAAAAACACTCTAGCCCGTGAACAAATAATATACTAATTACATACAAAAGGAACTATCTTGATTTAGAACTTATCGCCTGCGATTATTTTTTATAACTACAATGAGGGTTAGTCTAATGTTACAATAAATTATTTGAATGAATTGAATAAATCACGTGACATTTCCATTCCCAGCATCCCTCTTTACGTCTACGAGGATCTCATCGACTATGGGAGGGTAGGGTAGAGGTAAAGTCTAAAAATCGTCATGAGAGACTACATTGGGGAACTGTATGCGATGATGAGTTTGACTTGCTTGATGCYAATGTGGCSTGCAGGACCCTCGGCTTAGGAACAGCGTCAAGAGTTTTTACCAATGCTAAGTTTGGACAAGGATCTCGCTCAGTAAGTGAAGCTTAATTTGTGTTTATTTGTTTGTTGAGGTTGTTACAGGCCCGTAGGCTGCCTAACAAATGGGGGCTTCGTTTTTTCATAATGCGAACCTAAATTCAATGTTTTTTAACATTAGTTAAACGAATTAACTTAGTTCAATGCACAGTATAGTGTGTAAGAACGAGCCTGTGTCATCACAATGATTATAAGATTTTATTCAGTTACTCATTTGTTAATTGTTTGTGTTTTGTTGGAAAATAATTTGAATATTGGATGTGWRAATAACGWCAAAATAACTGACAAAGGGCTTCAAGAGACTGGGAGTGCKCATTTGTCACCAGAGTKTTGTTGRATAGCWGGGCTATTTATATTGTTCTCCCTATTGCTCATCTCCWTAGATATACATGGATAATGTACAATGCAAYGGTTGGGAGAAAGCMTTTTCTGAGTGCAGCTATAAAGACAAGACTGATTGTACTCACTACGAAGACGTCAGCGTGCGCTGTAACGCGCCAAAACCTCACCTTAGAAAGGTACTTGAGCTTCTCCCGAAATTGATGATACACGCATTCATGACGTGACATGTTTCCTGCCCGGTACTTAATTCAACTTCTTGGTTAAAGATTCGTCTTGTAGGTGGACGGAATGCCATGGAAGGGTTTGTCGAGATGCATGACGGGACTAAATGGGGTGCTGTATGTGGAGAGGGTTGGGGAATCGAAGAAGCTTCGGTTACTTGTCGACAGTTGGATCTTGGATTTGGRATGAGAGCAGTAAAAGGCAAATATAACTTTGGYTTGTCAAGTGTKAAGATTCAGTATTCACACCTCGACTGCTCGGTAAGTAGGGMAGCTAGAGTCACACACACGCCGTAAAACTTGGACTTAACTTCTCCCTTCCTTCAATAACTACAATCACAACCACAACTGCAACTTCAATGAGATYCAGTTCGTAAAAAAATGCTTTAGGTAAAGGGCATTTGGGGCGMTTGGAGTCGTCGACACTGSSSMG